GTCAACCCAAACTCGACTGACCATGTCGCCGGAGAAGAGATTTACCTACATTTAAATAAACTGACCATTTCAAGGGGAAAGGATGACTAAAAAAAACTTTTGTCAAGTTTTACCATCACCTGGGTTTAAAAGGTAATTGAGTTTCCCCACGGCTGCATTTTGAGGCCATTGAGAACCATGGAAAAACAAGGAATTTAAAGACAAAGCGCCCACGTTGGACAAAGAAATTAGTCAATACGATTTACTGTTAGTTCTTCTTTGCAGAAAGACGTATTCGATCCATATTAAAAGGTACTCTCAATTATTATTATTATTATTATTATTATTATTCACATGTAATAAAATCCAGGATGGAAACGATCCCTCCAGACAAATATTAATTCATTAAGTCGTCGTCGGTCTTAGAAGGATGAAAGTGGGCATGTCGACCGAACGAGCCCAACGACTAATTTACAAAACGAGTGAATAGGAGTAAATATATATAAAGATAGAGAGAAAACATCAACAGAATCGGAGTTTGGCAAAGATGTGGGGAATAAATGGGAAGCTAAATTCCCGAGAAAACGGCATTTTTGAAAGCATACCAGAAAAGCTCTGACACTCCAGGAAGAATTAAGTACATTCAAGTGCCTCTGTTTTGGGAAGGGATCCATATTCCCCTGAACGCTTGCTTTATGGGATCCAACGGGAATCTTTTAACTACAAAGGCATTAGTCAAGTCGTTTTGCCCAATACCATTCTATACTATCATACTATATGTATGTGGGCTGCCCTCCAAAACTGTTACCTTATTGTCTATATATTCTTTCCATCTTTTGCAATGCAATTGTTTTCTTTGCCCCTCAAAAAACATAAACCAGAGATGATATTACGAGGAAGATGCAATCTTTCAATCTGGGAAAGCAACACGGAGCATTTAACTACAAAGAGAGTAGACAAGTCATTTTGCTCGACAATATTTCCGGAGGGATTTCATAGTATACAATGCTATAGAATATTATCAAGCAAAGTGACTTGGCTATTGTCTTTGTAATTAAAAGCTTCCTTTTGGATTCCAGAAAGCAAATAAAATAAGTGTTACCTTACTGTACTCTCTCCCGCTCCCTCCCTCTCTCTATATATATATATATATACACTAACTCTATAATATTGTTAAGCAAAGTGACTTGGCTACTGTCTTTGTAGTTAAAAGCTTCCTGTTGGATTCCAGAAAGCAAGTACAATAAGTGTTACCTTACTGTATTCTGTGTGTGTGTGTGTGTACACACACACACACACACTATAGAATATTGTTAAGCAAAGTGACTTGGCTACTGTCTTTGTATTTAAAAGCTTTCTGTTGGATTCCAGAAAGCAAGTACAACAATTGTTACCTTACATATATAAACATACACTAAAGAATATTGTTAAGCAAAGTGACCTGGCTATTGTCTTTGTAGTTAAAAGCTTCCTGTTGGAATCCAGAAAACAAGAACAGTAAGTGTTGCCTTGCTGTTTTATATACATGCACACACCATAGAATATTGTTAAGCTAAGTGACTTGGCTGCTGTCTTTGTAGTTAAAAGCTTCCTGATGGATTGCAGAAAGCAATGTGTTACTTTATTGTTTATATATATATTCTTGCAACACAATTGTTTTCCTTGCCCCAAAAAACACAAACCAGAGGTTACATTGTCGCGAATCTTTCAATTCAAGAACAGGAAGCTTTTGACTACAAAGACAGTAGTAGCCAATTCATGTCACTTAACAATATTCTATAATATTATACACTATGAGCCCCGCAAAGTGACAACAAAGTGTTACTTTATTGTACTACCTATACATTCTTTTCCTCATTTACAATATAATTGTTTCCTTGCCCAAAAACATAAACCAGAGAGATATTATATAGAAAATGTAAACTTTCAATCCAAGAGGTAGAGGGGAAATCAGAAGAGGAAGTTTTTAACAACAAAGACAACAGCCAATCCATTTCGCTGGACCCCAAAAGGGATCTTTTGTAAACCTGGTTATCCATCTCTAACAAAAAATGGATCAATGCTTCTTCTAAGGAGCTTCCATTCCGAAATGCATCACTTTTAATAAACCATTTCTTGTCAACAAGTGGCAAATTCGTAATTCCGCTGTACAACGGTTGTTGAAAGTTGTTCAGAACCAGATGCAACCAGATTGCAATATGGAAGAGGTAACATCAACCAGAGGGACATTACAGGAAATATGTGATCTTCCAATTAAAGGGGTAGAAGGGAAACCAGAAGAGGAAGGTTCTAACTACAAAGACAGTAGTCCTTTTGCTTGACAACATTCTCTAATACAGGGATCTTCTGTAAATTGTCTCTGGGTTGAAACATAAACAGACTCTTTTAGAAACGTGTCTAGGAAAGCCTCCAAGAAAACATTACAACGCGCGAGTGACATAAGAACCTTTTCCTATCATTCTTCTTCTTCTAATATTAAAAACACAAACATCATATTAAGTCATATACACATACAAACAAACATACTATGGGATTCCTGCATGGCAGGAAAAGAAAAGGAAAAGACATTGAGGAACAAAGCAAACAATGGGAAATAGAGTTTCCTCGGTGCAATGGAAGGCCTTGTTTTTCCTCAGAAACAGAACCAGCTCTTTTATATGCAAAACAAGAATTATTCTTGACTCGTTGTAGTCTGAATTCATGCTTTTGGGAGCCAAACAAGCTGTGATTCTGGGGAAGTCGAGAACCACGTGGATGTATATGCTTAAGGCATGTAATTCGGACCTGAGAACGCACTAAAAGTGTTAAACAAAAGGAAAATGGTGACTTGTTTACTTGGCCATATTTTGCTTTCTAGTAATTCTAATGATAGTATTATCTGGGTTCTAGATCCAAAAAGATTGGGGCCATCCGTCAAATGAAGCCAAAACCCTGTTACTGAAAGAAAGGGAAAACTTCAGTAGAAGATCGGAACTCAGATCCATCTTCACCTCCAACTTCCTGCATCTCTTAGTCAAGTTAATGCATTTATTGAAACATATAGTGGCCCTGACCATTCAATAGTAGATGCCACTTTTAATTTTTATTTTTTTTCAAAATTTAGTGTGATTTTAGGTAAAATTGATGCAATTGAGTTTGCAGCCTGGGGGTTGGAATCTGACCCCTACTGAACCTTAGAATTTGAAGAATAGCCAAAGAAGCAGATATACGACTACAATAGAGTGTCACTTGTCCGACATAAACAGGGTGGAAGAACAGGGTGGAAGAACAAGGTGGAAGAACAAGTTCCACCCTTTTTTCCAGGTTCAGGAGGGAAAGGGAACCATTTTAGTTCAGTCTTACAGTTGGGAGCTCAGCTACAGGATATGAAAGTGTTCTACCTGTAGAGAAGCTTCGTTTCTTAAAAAGTCCGGGGGGAAACAGTCCCAAATTCCTCTGGCTGGGGAATTTACCTGTCCGACGCAGGGCTGGGGAATTTACCCGTCCGACGCGGGGCTAGACAACTAGAATACTAAAAACAGGGACTCATACGGTTAAGGCAAGGCAACGCCTCAGGGCTAGAGCAGCCCAACAGGAAGTGTCCGGATGTGGAAGAGGAGCATGGAATCATAGAAGGAAGGAGGGAGGATGCTTTCGCTTCTGGTCCTGCCCCTTTTCCCCCTTTCCTCCCTCATCCTCCTTGTCTTGCCCTTTTCACTTATTGGGAATGGAGAGAGAGTTGGGGAGCACTCCTTTAATTGAAGGGAAAATGCTGCAGGAAAAAGGGGGCGTTGGATAAGAGCGTCTGTGCTGGTACAGCTGTACCAGGAACTCCAAACTCCCTTTCGTTCTTTGAGCGTTTGCATGTGCTTGTTCCGGCCATGCATTTTGCAGTTGGATGGTTCCTGCTAGGCTGCAGTCATGGGGCTAGCCACCTGTCTATCATCGTTAAGTTTTAGTTCCGCCCTTTTTTCCAGGTTCAGGAGGGAAAGAGAACCATTTTAGTTCAGTCTTACAGTTGGGAGCTCAGCTACAGGACGTGAAAGTTTTCTACCTGTAGAGAAGCTTCGTTTCTTACAAAGTCCGGGGGGAAACAGTCCCAAAAGCTCTGGCTGGGGAATTTACAGCCTCACAGCTTTAAGAACAGTCTTTAAAGAAAGGCTTTTAAGAGAAACAGCTTTACAGCACAACCCTTGTTGGAGTTGGAGAAACGGATCTACAGCTTTCGTGGGAAAAATCCTAAGGACTCCAGCTGGAAATTCTTCAGAGCCTTGGCTGGTAGGTCTACTCGAGTACCCAAGAAGCAATTTGGAGCCAGGAGTAGGGCCCACATCAGCAAAGCCTAGAAAGCAGATTGCCCAAGGAGGGGTCAAAAAGGGTTTTCCTCATAAAGGAAAGAAATAGTTTTCCAAGCAAGTTGCCTGTCCATTGTAGACAAGTTAAGAAGCATTTGTTTGATTTGTTGAAGATCTAAGATTGTTTGTTGGAGATCTAAGCAATAATAAAGAACTTTGTTAAACTTTTAAGCTTCTAAAGACTTTGTATAGGAAAACCCATAGGGCCTCTCATCCGAGGCACCCCGGCTTCCCACTGGGCACAATGAGCATGTCCTGTTCAAAAGCCTATTACTATAGGCCCAGCGTGCGACAGCACAGCGTCACATAAGACAAAATGTCGGATAAGTGAAGTGAAGGTTGGATACTGTACTTGATCCTACGAAGACTGGGTCTGACAGTCTCTAAGTTTTAAATGGAGTGTTGTTATTATCATGCCTACAACAGCACTGCAGTACCTGTGACTGTAAGAAGATCTGATAATAGTTATATCAAAGGGGAATACACACACACACACACACACACATACATACACATCTGGGCTGTACATGGAAAAGATTCCTCTGGGAGAAAATAGGACATTCAGAATCCTCAGCCTCTCGAAACTGTCCACTGCACCATTATAGCAAACTAACTGCAAGATAAAGCCAAATCCATTGAGTGTCAGCGCATTGTTCGCAGCTTCTCCTTGGGCAAAAAAGGAAAGCGTTTTCTCGTCAAGCAGTAAACAGGTGCAAGAACAAAACCCAACGTCTCCCCGCCCTGTACAAGACGCGGAAGCATGCAGAGGAGTGACCAAACGAAAGTGCGACTATACAGTAAGGTGAACGGACAGACAGACAGCTCCCTTTTGGTGCCACCTAATAATAATAATAGTCTAAAATGCCTCTTGTTAAAAACCGCTCCATGGCACTGTGCCTCTCGGCAGGCCTTTTCGGAAACGACGCAACGTACAGAAACATTGGTGCGTCAACAAGGCACGGCTACCCAAAATGGTTACAAGGGAACCCAGCGACAGCTTCATCACCTCCTATTTAACCCTCTATGAGTAAAAGCTAAGCTGCGAATCCAACATGAATGGTGAACCTTCGTCCTAAGGGATATCTGAAACCAAAATAAACCAGAACTTGTTCCCGTCCTCCTCATATCAACCAGAAGATCATTCCAAATGACTTCCACCAACAAGACGTCAAAAACTAAACATCAGAGCTTCAACCGTAGACAAACGCGGTAGGGTTCAAAGGCAAAAGACATTGCGGTTTGGTTCAGACTTATCCAAATCTGAGTCAAAATAAAGGCCAAGATGCTCCCAAATAGTCATCCCTTAAACTATACAAAGCCACCCTACCGGGCAGCTAAAACTCAATGCTTGGAAAAAGCCAGCCTTCCTATCGCCATCTCCTTCCTTTTCGATCTCCGAGAAGCAACGGCAAATTATGAAAACCAAGAAAAGCAGATTGGCTTATATAGTCACAAAGAACAGCCAGTTTGGCCAAGCTCTGAACCCCTGCTGTGGCAAAAATGTCCTTCCCGAAACAGTTCCGCCGCTTGAGTCATTTCTCAGCCATCTCATCATTACGTATTATTTTTTTTTCTCCTGACACCATATAAATAAGTCATATTTATACAGCTTAAGACATTCGGAGTCATGCAGTAGGGTTTGTGTGTGTGTCGTAGGTGATACGTTTCTGCTTTCTTCATGATCGATAGTTGGATCTTGTTCTCGAGCAGACGGACGGGGCCCTAAGCCGGGCCGTGCCGGGCGTTGTCTATGACGCCAGAGGGGGGTTCTGAGTCATCCATGGGGAGGACCAGGCGGGTGCCCCGAATGACCAGTTCATGGTCCCCAAAGGCGAGTTCCTGGTCCAGGGGGTCTTCGGCGCCATTGCCGGCCAGCCTTCGACCTGCAACGGATGTCAAGGAATCCGTGTTGACGGTAGAGTCACCGTAAGTCAAGCTGATGTCGCCGTCATTCAGAATGAGATCCGAGTCGTCATCCTTCAGCTGCTCCTGGTTCTGAACAGAAAGCAAATCATTTTATTGCTGTATTATCATCATCATCATTATTATAGTAGTATTTTAATATCTATATAAATAAAAATGTAATGTTCTTTTTTTCCCCGAAGGCTTTCATGGCTGGAATCACTCAGTTCTTGTGGGTTTTTTCGGGCTATATGGCCATGTTCTAGAGGCATTTCTCCTGACGTTTCGCCTGCATCTATGGCAAGCATCCTCAGAGTGGCTTTGTATAGTTTAAGGGATGACTATTTGGTCATCCCACCTCTGAGGATGCTTGCCATAGATGCAGGCGAAACATCAGGAGAAATGCCTCTAGAACATGGCCATATAGCCCGAAAAAACCCACAAGAACTGAATGTAATGTTCGTTTGTGGGATTAACATAACTCAAAAACCACTGGACGAATTGACACCAAATTTGGACACAAGACACCTCTGAGGCCAACAAGTGACCATCACTCATAAAAACACTGAAAAACATAGCAGAAGAGACTTAAAAAGACAAAAATTAAAAAAATACATTACAACGCATGTGCAAAATTATATATATATTAGCCATCCCCTGCCACGCGTTGCTGTGGCCCACATGGGGGTTCTGTGTGGGAGGTTTGGCCCAATTCTATCGTTGGTGAGGTTCAGAATGCTCTTTGATTGTAGGTGAACTATAATTCCCAGCTACTACAACTCCCAAATGTCAAGATTCTATTCCCCCCAAACTCCACCAGTGTTCACATTTGGACATATTGAGTATTCTTGTAGAGTTTGATCCAGATCCATCAGTGCTTGAGTCCACAGTCATCTCTGGATATAGGTGAACTACAACTCCAAAACCAAAGGACAGTACCCACCTAACCCTTCCAGTATTTTCTGTTGATCATGGGAGAACTGTGTGCCAAGTTTGGTTCAATTCCATCGTTGGCGGGGTTCAGAATGTTCTTTGATTGTAGGTGTACTATAAATCCCAGCAACTACAACGCCCAAATGACAAAATCATTTTTTTTTTTAGTGAAGGACATATATTGGGTTTTTAGGTGTCTTGTGTCCAAATTTGGTGTCAATTCACCCAGTGGTTTTTGAGTTCTGTGAATACCACAAACGAACATTACATTTTTATTTATATAGATATATACGCAAACACACCTATACACAAATACACACATACACAAAGCACATATACACACTGGGCCACAGCAACGCATGGCAGGGGATGGCTAGTTATATTATAATCATTAAATTATTGTCATCGCTATATTATTATTACTATATTATTATCATTATTATTGTTGCAACTCAGGGTAGTTTTCATCTTGCTCCAGACACCACCACACCAAAGCTGTAGATTTTGTAGTTTATTGAGAAAAAGGCAAAATCAAAACAGAGTATATGAAATGCATAAAATCCATAGGCAGATCAAAGGCTTAAATGCAAAGACACAGTTCCCAAGATCCAAAGGCAAAAAGATGAAGCACAATCCTTTAGCAATGGTCAAACAAGACTCCATGGAAAACAGTTGAAAACAAGGCCCAAATCCCAGACTCAGAAAGCCAGAAGCGTGCTGCTAAAAGCCACAGTTAATGCACAGAAGTTTGCATGAGAAGAGCTACATTGGACTGACAGCCTCTGCTTGTCAGCTACAAGGCTAAATACCCTTTGCAGACATGAACGCATTGTGTTGACCCTTGGTCTCCTTGGCTTCTCGAGAGCTTCTCTGCTTCTCGAGATCTTGTCTGCTAATTAATTCATTACCTTCAAGGCTATGTAACCCCTTATCTTGGTCCAGCTGGACCGGATCACTGTGGGAAGGCAAAGACGTCTCCACCTGGCCGTGTGGGATTTCACTCTCGTTATCAGTCTCACTTAACATTCTTTTCCCCTGGGAACTGACTTGCTGTTTCCCCTTCAGCACCGTCAGGCCTGTCTGAAACATGTACAGAAATCTGTAACCCATCATCTCCCTCATCATCCTGTAGGAATTCTGGCTCACAGAGCTCAGCTTCAGACTCAGAGTCAAGCTGAGTCACAACAATTATAATAATAGGATTGCAAGACATCCGGCGTCCCCTGGGCAACGTCTTCGTTGACGGCTGATTCTCTCACTCCAGAAGCGGCCAAAAGCGACTTGCAGCATGCATGCAACCAAACAAGCAAACCAACCAACGGACCTTCTCAGGACCAACCATGACAATAATCTCAATCAACATTGAAGGCATGTCAGATGCCAAAGAACAAGTGCTCTATGAACTGTGCCGAGAACTGTGCCAGGGGAAATTCCCGTCTTGCCTTAAGCAGGCAGTGGTAAAATCTCTATTTAAAAAGACCTCCCTTGACCCGACTGTATGTAACAACTACAGACCAATTTCCAACCTCCCTTTTCTGGGCAAGGTTCTGGAGAGGGTGGTCACCTCGCAGCTCCAGGGATTCCTCAATGACACTGATTTTTTGGATCGTTTGCAGTCTGGCTTTAGACCTGGGCACAGTACCGAGACGGCTTTGGTCGCCTTGGTGGATGACCTCCGCAGGGAACTGGACAGGGTAGTGTGACCCTGCTGGTTCTCTTGGATATCTCAGCGGCTTTCAATACCACTGACCATGGTATCCTTCTGGGAAGACTCTCTGGGATGGGACTTGGGGGAATGGTTTTACTGTGGCTCCGGTCCTTCCTGGAGGGTCGTTCCCAGTTGGTAAAGCTGGGGGACTCCTGCTCAGACCCCTGGCCGTTTACCTTTTGGGTCCCGCAAGGATCTATTTTGTCCGCCATGCTATTTAACATCTATATGAAACCGCTGGGAGAGATCATCCAGAGTTTTGTAGTATGGTGCCACCTCTACGCAGATGACACCCAACTCCACTACTCTATTCCACCTGAATCCAAGGAAGCCCCTCAGATACTGGACCAGTGTCTGGCTGCTGTGTCCATCTGGATGAGGATGAACAAGCTGAAGATTAATCCTGACAAGACAGAGGTCCTCCAGGTCAGTCACTGTTAGTTAACCCGTGCTGGATGGGGTCGCACTCCCCCTGTAGTCACAGGTCCGCAGTTTGGGGGTCCTCCTGGATTCAGCGTTGACGCTTGATGCATAGATGTCAACGGTGGCCGGGAGGGCCTTTGCACAATTAAAACTTGTGCGCCAATTGCGACCATATCTCATGAAGTCAGACTTGACCACGGTGGTCCATGCCTTAGTTACCTCTAGATTAGATTACTGCAATGCACTCTACGTGGGGCTACCCTTGAATATTCGTTTTTTACAATATTAATTAATTGCAATATTAATTAATTAATAATTAACTATTATTAATTACAATATTATTATTGATTATTCTTGTCTTGTTAATTCATTTCTGTAATGTGTTTTCATCCCTCAACAAGGAATGAAAGGAGCGGGAAGCACACGACCAGCAATGGTGACCAAATATCTGTTGCTGAGTTCCAGGAAGTCCACATGGGAAAGGTTACAAATAACCTAGGGAGGTTCCTCCTCTCACCTCGTAAGCCTGGGGGCTCGTCAAGCAACTTGCAATGGGTCCGCAGCAACTTGGGAGGGTCGTCGTCAAAGGCGGGCCGCTGTGCGTCAGGAGGGGCTTCAAGTAGCTGGGAAACAGGGTGAAGGTGAAGGAAATGCAACTCTTGGGTACAAGCCAGACTGAAGCTGAGAGAGTGTTGCTTAGAGTCCTATAGTCGGAAGGGACCTCCAAAGGCTATTCACTCCAACTCCCTTCTGCCTTCATGCAGGGAAAACACCATCCAAGTCCTCCTGACAGATGGCCATCCAGTCTCTGCTTAAAAGCTTCCAAAAAGGAGGCTTTGGTTAGACCACACCTGGAATATTGTGTCCAATTCTGGACACCACAATTCAAGAGAGATATTGACAAGCTGCAATGTGTCCAGAGGAGGGCGACTAAAATGATCAAGGTTCTGGAGAACAAGCCCTATGAGGAGCGGCTTAAGGAGCTGGGCATGTTTAGCCTGAAGAAGACAAGGCTGAGAGGAGACATGAGGGCCATGTATAAATATGTGAGAGAAAGTCACAGGGAGGAGGGAGCAGGCTTGTTTTCTGCTTCCTTGGAGACTAGGACGCGGAACAATGGCTTCAAACTACAAGAGAGGAGATTCCATCTGAACATGAGGAAGAACTTCCTGACTGTGAGAGCCATTCAGCAGTGGAACTCTCTGCCCCAGAGTGTGGTGGAGGCTCCTTCTTTGGAAGCTTTTAAGCAGAGGCTGGATGGCCATCTGTCAGGGGTGATTTGAATGCAATATTCCTGCTTCTTGGCAGAATGGGGTTGGACTGGATGGCCCATGAGGTCTCTTCCAACTCTTTGATTCTATGATTCTATGACCGACCCTCTTTATGTCACCCAAAGTGTCCCTTATTTCCAGTTTTACATTGGAGAGAAGCACCTTTTGGGTTTGGTCACTTAACTGATGACAAATCCCCCTACATTGCTGAATTGGGGATACGAACTCAAGTTTTCCTAGTCTCAAAGAGACTAAACTTCATGAGCCTTTGCTCCCAAAAGACTAAAATAACCACCAGCTGCCAATGGGACAGGGCTCAATGCCAGACCCTTGGCGTCTTGAGAGACAGGAATCCGCAGCTGATCAGGAAATCCCTCTCAAAGAGGCGAGAAGAGCCTTAGGATCCTTGTTTTGATCCTAAGCGATTGATGGTTTCTTTTAATGTAAAGGATACTTGTGGTCAAAGTTGTACCAAAGTCGGAAAAGCCATGCGCTCTCCGCTTTGGTGCTCCGCCTTTCATTTTCTGGCAAGCCCTGGAAAGGAGTTAAAGAGACATAATTAGCAACATTAATTAAATAATGTATTGTCGAAGGCTTTCATGGCCGGAATCACTGGGTTGTTGTAGGTTTTTTCGGGCTATATGGCCATGGTCTAGAGGCATTCTCTCCTGACGTTTCGCCTGCATCTATGGCAAGCATCCTCAGAGGTAGTGAGGTCTGTTGGAACCAAGCAAAAGGGTTTATATATCTGTGGAATGACCAGGGTGAGACAAAGGACTCTTGTCTGCTGGAGATAGGTGTGAATGTTTCAACTGATCACCTTGATTAGCATTTGATGGCCTGGCAGTGCCTGGAGCAAACTTTTGTTGAGAGGTGATTTGATGTCCTTGTTTGTTTCCTCTCTGTTGTTGTGCTGTTGTAATTTTAGAGTTTTTTAAATACTGGTAGCCAGGTAACCATGAAAATGAACAAAATCTGGCTACCAGTATTAACGGAACGCCCTTCCCACGGACATCAGATTAGCACCATCTCTGGTGGTATTCCGCAAAAAAGTAAAGACCTGGTTGTTCATGCAGGCGTTCGAGTAGTTAGTGCAATGATTGGTAATGACAAAGGAATGGAACAATGGATGATGGATCTGGATCGTGCTTTTAGTGATGAGACGTTAGTGAATGGTTATTATAGTAATTGTGTGCTGACTGTGTATTAGATAGGTTGTTAACTGTTTTTATATTGGTGCATTGAATTTTGCTGTTTCCTATGTGCTGTGAGTCGCCTTCGGGCTGAGAACAGCGGTATAGAAGTAAAGTAAAGTAAAGTAAATAAATAAATAAATAAATAAATAATAACTCTAAAATTACAACAGCACAACAACAGAGAGGAAACAAACAAGGACATCTAATCACCTCTCAACAAAAGATTGCTCCAGGCACTGCCAGGCAATCAAATGCTAATTAAGGTGGTCAGTTGAAACATTCACACCTAGCTCCAGCAGACAAGAGTCCTTTGTCCCACCCTGGTTATTCCACAGATATATAAACCCTTTTTCCTAGTTCCAACAGACCTCACTACCTCTGAGGATGCTTGCCATAGATGCAGGCGAAACGTCAGGAGAGAATGCCTCTAGACCATGGCCATACAGCCCAAAAAAACCTAAAACAACCCATTAATTAAACAATTCTCCTCAATTAATGGATTAATAATCAATCGATCGATTGATTAGTTATCAATTAATCGATTGATTATCAATTAAATAATTCATCAATTGATTGATTGATAATCAATGAATTTATTTATTTATTGGTTATAAAAAATCAATTGATTTTCAATTAATTAATTGATTGGTAGTTACTTAAGTAATCAATTTATTGATTAACTATCAATTAATTAACTGATTGATTTAAAAACAATGGATTTATTTATTGATTTGCTTATCAACAAATCAATCAATTGATTATCAATTAATCCATCAATTGATTAACCGATGTATTAATTTATTGATAAATAATCAATTGATTTATTAATTAATAATCAATTATTAAAGTTATAACAAATTAATTTATCAATTGATTGAATATCAAATAATTATCAATTGGGTTGTTGTAGGTTTTTTCAGGCTGTATGGCCATGGTCTAGAGGCATTCTCTCCTGACGTTTTGCCTGGATGCTTGCCATAGATGCATCCATGGATGCTTGCCATAGATGCAGGCGAAACGTCAGGAGAGAATGCCTCTAGACCATGGCCATACAGCCCAAAAAAACCTACAACAACCCAGTGATTCCGGCCACGAAAGCCTTCGACAATACAATTATCAATTGGTTGATTATCAATCAATCAATCAATCAATCAATTAATTGATGAGAAACCAAAGTGCTTCTTTAATGGTGTTTATTAATCATCCAACCTATCAATCAATTAATATATTGTCGAAGGCTTTCATGGCTGGAATCACTAGGTTCTTGTGGGTTTTTTCGGGCTATAGGGCCATGTTCTAGAGGCATTTTCTCCTGACATTTCGCCTGCATCTATGGCAATCACCTCACTACCTCTGAGGATGCTTGCCATAGATGCAGGCGAAACGTCAGGAGAAAATGCCTCTAGAACATGGCCCTATAGCCCAAAAAAACCCACAAGAACCTAATCAATTAATAGATGATGGATTAATAAACACCATTAATGCAGAACTTTGATTTCTCTTCAGTTCCTAAGAAAGGTTCTTTGGTTTGTGGATTTTCCTTCCATACGAATTGGGGTGCATCTACACTACAGAACTAATGCAGTTTAGTACCACTTCAACCGTCATGGCTCAATGCTATGGATATCTGGAAGCTGCAGTTTGGTGCAGTACCAGCATAAAGTGATACCAAACTGTGTTAATTCTATAGTGTAGATGCCCCTTTTGTGTACCAAGGAAGGAGTATTATCCTTCCAGTGACTTTTAGAAAATATTAAAATGTCATAATTTTAATACAGTTCTTCAATAGCTTTTAAACATGTTTATTATTATTATTATTATTATTATTATTATTATTATTGTCGAAGGCTTTCATGGCCAGGATCACTGGGTTGTTGTAGGTTTTTCCGGGCTATATGGCCATGTTCTGGAGGCAAAAATTATTATTATTATTATTATTACCCTCTTTTCTCTCTGTTAAGAGAGACTCAAAGTGGCTAATACAAGATGTAAATAAAAATAGAATTAAATATAGAAGTTTCAAAAGCACACATTGAATGAGAAAGGAAAAGATGAGAAAGGAAAGCTTCAATACATACCAGATTTTCTTGATCGGCATCGACACCAACCCTGCGGAGAAGGATACAGGTCAATAAACATGGCTCACGTTGCCTTACAGATTCATAGCGCATGTATGTATGTATATCTGCATATATGTATATGTGTGTGTACGTATATGTATATATATAGAGGGGGGGGGGAGAGATGAAATACATAGTTTGGTCTTGCATTTATTCCGATTTCACCCTCATTGAGATGAATTAAGACCTTATTCCCATGTAATTATATAGAGGTTTTCAGTCTCAGATGCATAGTCATGGGGACACCCAGTGGTAAAAAGGAGCGTACACCACAATTTAGCACCCTAAAACAATTTTTAGAGAAGCAGAGAAGCAGAGAAGCAGATGGCGGAAACAGAAGAACGGCCTGCCTCAGGGGTGCGTGCTTGCTCCATCTATGTTCAACATCTACACAAATGACCAGCCACTGCCAGAAGGGACAGAGAGTTTCATCTATGCTGATGATCATGCCATCACCACTCAAGCAGGTAGCTTTGAGATGGTTGAACAGAAGCCCTCCGAAGCTCTAGGTGCTCTTACTGCCTATTACAGGGAAAACCAACTGATCCCTAATCCATCTAAAACACAGACATGCACCTTTCACCTTAAAAACAGACAAGAATCCTGAGGATTACCTGGGAAAGAATCCCACTGGAGTATTGCAACACACCCAAATACCTGGGAGTCACTTTGGACCGTGCTCTGACCTACAAGAAGCACTGCCTGATCATCAAGCAAAAAGTGGGCGCTAGAAGCAACATCATACGAAAGCTGACTGGCACAAACTGGGGATCACAACCAGACACAGTGAAGACATCCGCCCTTGCGCTATGCTACTCTGCTGCTGAGTACGCATGCCCAGTGTGGAACACATCTCACCACACTAAAACAGTGGATGTGGCTCTTAATGAGACATGCCGCATTATCACGGGGTGTCTGCGCCCTACACCACTGGAGAAATTACACTGCTTAGCTGGTATTGCACCACCTGACATCCGCCGGAAAGTAGCAGCCAATAGTGAAAGGACCAAGGCAGAGACATCTCCAGCTCATCCACTGTTTGGATATCAGCCAGCACGTCAACGACTTAAATCAAGACATAGTTTTCTTAGATCTACAGAGACACTCGTTTGGAACACCTCAGTAAGCGAGAGTCCAAAAGTGGCAGGCCCAAACCCAGCACCTCAATCCATGGGTGATACCAGATGAGAGACTCCCCCCTGGGCACACAGAAAACTGGGCGACTTGGAAGGCACTGAACAGACTGCGCTCTGGCGCCACGAGATGCAGAGCCAACCTTAAGAAATGGGGCCACAAAGTGGAATCCACGACATGCGAGTGCAGAGAAGAGCCAACCACTGACCACCTGCTGCAATGCACCCTGAGCCCTGCCACATGCACAATGAAGGACCTTCTTGCGGCAACACCAGAGGCACTCCAAGTGGCCAGATACTGGTCAAAGGACATTTAAGCAACTACCAAGTTTGCAAAATCTGTTTTTTTTTTAAATCTCTGTTTGTTTTGTTCTGTTAGAAATGTAATACAATGGTATGGTTGCTGATGACATGATAAATAAATAAAATAAGCACCCAAAAGTTACAGACCAAAGCAAGAGTCATTACGGGACATGCTGCATGTTCTGTCATGTGCTGGACCTGTAAAGAATTTCCTTTAGAACAGGACGTGCAACCTTTGCTCAGCGGAAAGCCAGGGGGCCCAAGGAGAAGTTCTCAAAGGATTTCCACCACAAATAATCTTTAGATGGCTTGTGAAGTATAACGAAGTCTTTTATTAATGAACAATCTAACAGAAACTTCTCTTGTCTTCAATAAAGCTAAACAAGTGCTTCCAGGCTTTTATGCAACTGGTGGCTTCCTAAACTTGCCCACGAAGGACAGGCAACTGTCTTCAATAACTTCTTCTTTACTTTAAAGGAAAGTCCCCTTTTTAACTTCTCCCAGGCTGACTATAATCTAACCCTTACTGGTGTGGGCTCCGCTACCGGGCCGAACTGCGTCTCGAACGCCGAATGGACCTACCAGTCAAGGCTTAGTTATCCTCCAGCTGAAGTTCTTTGGTCTTTAGAGCTGTTTTCCTGGAAATCTTTGGAGACTCTTAAGACTGTTTCCCCTCGGAAAGTCTTGATGCTCTTAAGACTGTTTTCTCCCTGCATTATCACGGGGTGTCTGCGCCCTACATCACTGGAGTAATTACACTGTTCGCACCACCTGATATCCGCCGGGGAGTAGCAACCAATAGTGAAAGGACCAAGACAGTGACATCTCCGGTCCACCCCCTGTTTGGATATCAGCCAGCACGCCAATGACTTAAATCAAAAAATAGTTTTCTAAGATCTACAGAGATACTTGCTAAAACACCTCAGCAAGTGAGAGTCCAAAAGTGGCAGGCTCAAACCCAGAACCTCAAACAATGGCTGGTACCAAATGAGAGACTCCCTTCTGGGCACACAGAAGACTGGGTGACTTGGAAGGTGCTGAACAGACTGCGCTCTGGCACCACGAGATGCAGAGCCAACCTCAAGAAATGGGGCTACAAAGTGGAACACCATGACATGTGAGTGTGGAGAAGAGCAAACCACTGACCACCTGCTGCAATGCAACATGCACAATGGAGGACCTTCTTGCAGCAACACCAGAGGCACTCCAAGTCTGCAAACTTTGTGTTTTGTTCGTTTTTAATGCAATACAACCATTTTGGTTCGTTCCTGACACAATAAATAAAAAATGAGGGGATATTACTGCTGAAATTGAGTGAATCTAGGAATCAGAAGAACTGTTCTAAAGATAATTGTAATAATCAGTGAAATAAAAAACTCTTTCATTACAACCAAAGTTATTACATCCTGCAGTGTCAGCGGTTGCACGTGAAGCCTGTGCAGCAAAGTTTGTGTGAAACGTATTGCCTTGCCTGGAAGAAAATGATAGGCCGGCCCCCTGGAGACCTTGCAGAACTACAGCTCCCTTGATTCCATCGCAAGGAGCCAAGGCAGTTCAAGCGGTGCCAACAGCATTCATTCAACGAGAAAGAGGCACACTCACCTAATGTGGAGGCAGGAGAGCATGGGGGTGGTGCCACCGCCAAAGACCCAGACGGTGAAGAACACGATGAGGAGCGTGGTGCTGAACATCATCTGCCGCGCGTAGGTGGCCGTGTCCCGGATGGCCAGCGCAAAAGCCATGGCTCCCCGGAGGCCTGCAGGGGAGAGAAGCGCATTGTGGTTGTGGTTGCCTTCAAGTTAGAGACTGGAAATTAGCTAAAGGCACCTGGTTGGTTCAAACCACTGCATCATGCTTAACTGTGGCACAGAAGACTGACAGGTTGGGGTTCGAATCCAGGGAGAGCGCGGATGAGCTCCCTCTGTCAGCTCCAGCTCCCCATGAAGGGACATGAGAGAAGCTTCCCACAAGGATAGCAAAACATCCAGGCGTCCCCTGGGCAACGTCCTTGCAGATGGCCAATTCTCTCACACCAGAAGCAACTTGTAGTTTCTCAAGTCACTCCTGACACACAAAAAAGGCACGTGCTTAACAAATTGTGAATTCCTTCCCTCTTTTTCCTATCTTCCTTTCTTTTCTGCCTTCCCTGTTTTCTTTCTTTCTTTTTCCTTCCTTCCTACTTTTCTTTCTTTCTCCCTTTCTTCTTTCCCTTCCTTTCCTATCTTTTTCTACTTATCTTTCTTTCTGTTTCTTTCTTTCCTGTTTTCTACCCCCATGTTTTCCTTCGCTCTCCATTCCCTCCCATCCTTTCTTCCTTCCTTCTTTCCTTCCTTCTGTTTTCTACCTCCCTTTTCTTCCTTCCTTCCGTTTTCTACCTTCCTTTCTTCTCTTCCTTTCCTGTTTCCTACCTTTCTTTCTTTCCTCCCTGTTTTCTCCCTCCCTTCCTTTCTTCCATTTCCTTCCTACCTACCTTCCTTCTGTTTTCTACCTTTCTTTTTTTCTCTTCCTTTCCTCTCTGTTGCCTTCCTTCCTTCCTTCAGCATTTTCTACCCTTCTTTCTTTCTCTTCCTTTCCTGTTTCCTACCTTTCTGACTTTCTTTCTTCCCTGTTTTCTACCTCCCTCCCTTCCTTCCTTCTGTTTCCTACCTTTCTTCTTTTTCTCTTCCTTTCCTCTCCGTTGCTTACCTTCCTTCTTCCTTTATCCTTTTCCAACCTTCCATCCTTCTCTTCCTCCTTTGCATCCTTCCTTCCCTTTTTTCTTCCTCCTTCCCTTCCATCATTCCCTTCCAACCCTTTCATTTTTCCTTCCTTCACTTTTGCCTTTCTTCCTTCCCTCTTTCCTCCCTCCTTCCCTTTCTCCCTTTTTCTCCCTTCCTCCCTTCCTTTCTTCCATCCATTTCCTTCCTATCTTCCGTTTTCTACCTTTCTTTTTTTCTCTTCCTTTCCTCTCTGTTGCCTTCCTTCCTTCCTTCAGTGTTTTCTACCCTTCTTTCTTTCTCTTCCTTTCCTCTGTTTCCTATCTTTCTTTCTTCTGTTTTCTACCTCCCTCCCTTCCTTTCTTCCTTCTGTTTCCTCCCTCCCTTCCTTTCTTCCTTCTGTTTTCTACCTTTCTTCTTTTTCTCTTCCTTTTCCCTCCATTGCTTACCTTCCTTCCTTTCTTCCCTGTTTTCTTCCTTCCTTCCTTCCTTTCTCTCTCTCTTTTCCTTTCCTCTGTTTCCTACCTTTATTTCTTCCGTTTTCTACCTCCGTTCCTTCACTTCCTTCCATATTTTACACCTTCCTTCCTTTCTTTCGTCTCTTCCTTCCCTCTCTATTTTATAACTTTCTTTCTTCCCTGTTTTCCATCTCCCTCCCTCCCTTCTCATTTTCTATCTTTCTCTCTTCCTTCCTTCTCTGTTCCATGGTTAAAACCACCTTTAGCCTTCTCAGCCAAACAGTGCAAACTACAACTCCCAGGATCCCATAACATTGAGCCTTGGCAGTTAAAAGTGGAACCAAACTGACTTAATTCTATAGATGCATCCTTGATGCGCAAAGCCAGATGACTGTGTGTTTTATTTATGTATTTATTTATGTATTTGAAATGGAGAGGGAAGGAAGAGAAGAAAGAAAGAAAGAAAGAAAGAAAGAAAGAAAGAAAATATGGAAGGAAGACACAATCTGACTGTGTGGTTCTTGGCAGGACTGCTTCACTCCCATGTAACAAACTACTAACAAACAGCTGAACCCAGCAACTCACCCGCGAACATCATCATGTGCTGGAAATTGGTCCCGATCTTGTTCCTTCGTCCCAAATTGAGCAGGAACGAGAGTGGATAGATGTTAGCCGCTCTGCCCAGGAAGACCGCCAGCTGGGTTGGTTTGCATTGAGGAACTGCATTCAAACCATTTGTCTCTATTTGTTATGGGCTCAGCCATCCCATAATAGCTACTTTTGGACACATTAAAGTGCCCAGCTACAGCAGTTTGATACCTCTTCTGCACAGACCCATGTAATAAATGAAAAATTATCATTATCATCATATTATTATTATTATTAGTAGTAGTATCATATTGTTATTATTTGTTGTAGTAGTATAATATTATCATGCTATATCATCACCATCATCATAACCATATTATTACCATATTATCATTATTAGTAGTAGTAATCGTAGTTGTAGTAGCAGTATTTTAATACTGTATTATATTATTACTATTGTGCTGGCACGGCTGTGCCAGGAGATTTGAATTTCTTTTTCTTGCACTGTTAGTTTGAATGAATCCATTTGGGCCAAGCATTTTGCAATTGGGTAGCTTTCCCCAGATTGAAGTCATAGTGCCAACAACCTATCAATCATCGTTAGAGCCTTTAGATCCGTCCCTTTCCCCAGGTTTGGAGGGAAAAGGGGACTTTTAGTTCAGTCTCACAGTTTAGAGCCTTACAGTAGAGTTCAGTCTCACAGTTTGGAGCCTTACAGTAGGACATGTGGGGTTTTCTCTGTCCCACCTGCAAAAAGCTTCACTTCTTACAGCAAGCTTTTGCTGGGGAAAAAGTAAAACCTCTACAGCTTTGCTGGGGAGTAAAGTTACAGTTCCACAGCTTTGCTGGGGGAATACAGCCAGCTTTGCTGGAAAATAAAGGAATGGTTCCACAGTCTTCGTGGGGCAAATCTACAGGACACCAGCTTGGCAGATCTACAGCAAACATTGCCTGGTAAGGGACCACTCGGGCTATCCATAACGCAGCTTGGAGCCGGGAGTTGGGGCCTCACACCAGTAGGGTAAAGAAAGATTGCCCAAGGAGGGGTCGGAAGGTTTCCCTAAAGAAGATAGGAACAGTTTATCAAGCAGTTGCCTGTCCCTTGTTTGCAGATCGAGAAAGCTACTAGTTTTTCAAGATTATATAACATTTAATTCATTTGTTTGAAGATTTAAGCCTTAATAAAGAACTTTGTTGGACTTATTTTGAGCCTCTATAGAACTTTGTGTTGGGAAACCTATGGGACCCTTTAGCTGAGGCACCCCAGCGCCCCATTGGGCATACAGAAAGCACGTCCTGTTAACAGACATTGTCATAGGCCCAACGGCACAACTATATTATCATTGTTATTTTTAGTAGTAGTATTTTAATATTAAGGTAAAGTAAAAGTAAAGGTTTCCCCTTGACACTACTATCTCAAGTGCGGTTAGTGGGGACAAGAGAGAGGGCCTTCTCAGTGGTGGCTCCCCGTCTCTGGAATGCCCTTCCAAGGGAAATAAGACAGGCCCCATCCCTCCCCTCCTTTCGTAAGAGCTTGAAGACCTGGTGGTTTCAACAAGCCTTTGAAAATGGCCAGTTCTAACTCAGCCCCACACATTGTCTAATACGGCCTTATTCTCCCTATCAATTACCCAGATCACTTCCTCTAATGGGCCCCGGAATGAACAGAATTTTTGGGCTTGAGGTATGTGGTGTGGACATCCCAAAGGCTCCATTCCTATTGGCAAAGAAAGGATACAAAAGCTCCCACGACGAATGTCGGATTAAAAACATGATTCTGGAAAGTGAAGAGTGTCAGCCCCATATAAGAGAAGATGAAGTTTTCGGCCAGGAAATTAAGGAGCTCAAACAGCTGAAACAATAAGCAAAACAGAATTGTTTCCCTTGCAAAATGTGGAAGTTCTAAAAAATATATTTACAAACAGAAAGTATAGCAACTTTTTGTACTAAAAAAGTAATCTTGAAGAAGTATTACTTTTGGAATTTATGGATAGTAATAATATATGGGAAATATAACATTTTATATATGACATCTTAATCAAATAACTCTACTATAGGTTCGAAATAGAACGATGTAGCAATGACAAAATGTTTTGCTTTGCAGAAGCTTTGGCAGACTGCAGTCCATTATTTATTCTGGAACAAGGGATAGTAAGAAAGCCAGGAAATGTTACCTGTTTCGTCCTGTTTTGGGACTCTGTCGAAAGGTTGTTGTAGGTATAGTGCGCCTGGGTGATCCCACAGAACAAGACGGCGACAACCCCTGCAAAGAGAGAGGTGCAAAAACCAAAACATGGCATGTTTACGTTGAATATTGTGTCATTTGTAGCACTATTTGAGGTTCTGGGTCTCTTTTAAGTGAGGAAAAAAAAAATGTCTAATTACCATCTATCTATCTATCTATCTATCTATCTATCTATCTATCTATCCATCTATCTCCCTATTTATCCATCCACCCATCCATCTTCCTACTTCTCCATTCATTCATCTGTCTGTACATCCATACATCCATCTATCCATCTCCCTACATATCCATCCATACCTCTATCCATGCATGCATGCATCCATCCATCCATCCATCCATCCACCTACTTATGCATTTGTCCATCGCCATCTAGCATCTCTATTACCTCTATCTATCTATCTATCTATCTATCTATCTATCTATCTATCTATCTATCTATCTATCCATCTATCATCTATCCATCCATCCATCCACCTACTTATGCATTAGTCTGTCCATCCATCCATCTACCTATCTACCTACCTACCTATCTACCTACCTACCTACTTATCTATCCATCCATCCATCCATCCACCTACTTATGCATTTGTCCATCCACCTACTTATGCATCCATCCATCCATCCATCAATCCATCTATCTACCTACTTATCTATCTATCTATCTATCTATCTATCTATCCATCTATCATCTATCCATCCATCCATCCATCCACCTACTTATGCATTTGTCTGTCCATCCATCCATCTACCTACCTACTTATCTACCTATCTATCTATCTATCATCTATCTACTTATCTACCTATCCATCCATCCATCTACCTACTTATGCATTTGTCCGTCCATCCATCCATCCACCTACTTACCTACCTACCTACCTACTTATTTATCTACATACCTACCTACTTATCTACCTACCTACTTATCTATCTATCTATCTACCTACCCACCTATCTATCCATCCATCCATCCACCTACTTATGAATCCGTCCGTCCGTCCGTCCATCCACCTACCTACCTACCTACCTATCTACCTTCCTACTTATCTATCTATCTATCTATCTATCTATCTATCCATCCATCTGTCCACCCAGCTACCTACTTACCTACTTATTCATCTTTCCATCTATCTATCTATCCACCCATCTATCTACTTATCTATCTATCTATCTATCTATCTATCTATCTATCTATCCATCCATCCACCTACCTACCTACTTACCTACTTATTCATCTTTCCATCTATCTATCCACCCATCTATCTACTTACTTATCCATCTAGCTATCCATCCATCCACCCACCCACCTACCTACCTACCTACCTATCCACCTATCTATCTATAACACTATGTAACACAATTTTTGTTCCTGGGATATACACATCATTTCCTAATTGGTTCTATCATAAAAACATGGGAAAAGTTTTTTAAACTTCAGAAACTTTGTTTCTGCAGGAGGGACATCCTGTGGGAAGGATGAAGTCTCATCATCGAGTCTCAACCCATTCCACCTTGTCTGGCAGCCTCAAAAACAAAGCTTCTGGAGTAGAACAACTACTATCAAAGTAAGTTCTGCACAATTAAACAGAAAGCACACTTTCAAACCAGGAACATCACATTTTTGAAATTTTGTCACACAGTGTAATGCCATCCTTCCGTCTTCTAAGTTGAAAATACCCAAGTGCTTTGCCGCTCTCCTCTGCCTTGTTCTCCAAAGGTTGTTTCAATTTATCAACACCCTTCATTAAAATAACGAGTCAAAGGACAATTAAATGGGAATATTTACCTGTAAAACCACACGCTTCGGCCAAGAGGAAGGTGCTCCACGACATCAAGAAAAAGAGTCCCGTTTCCAGAAGCTGAAACTCACGGAGTTTGGTGAATTTGGTGACGTGGAGAGAAAGGTTAAGGAATATAGATATAAAATGTTGTTGTTGCTTTGTTATTGTTGTTGTTGTTGTTATCTTACCTGCTTCTTCCCAATGTTAAAGTGGGGTACAATGCTTTGAGTCTCAAAAAAGCAGGATGCAAATACATATAATAATACTAATATAATACAAAAAATAACAATAATAGTAATACACTACAATATCACTTCAACTGTCCATGGTTCAATCCACGCTTTTGGAATTCCTTCTCTCTTTTTCCTAGTTTCCTTCCTTCCTTCCTTCCTTCCTTCCTTCCTTCCTTCCTTCCTTCCTTCCCTCTTTTCCCCTCCCTCCCTCCCTCCCTCCCTCCTTTCTTTCTTTCTTTCTTTCTTTCTTTCTCTTTCTTCTACTTTCCTGTTTCCTACCTTTCTTCCTTCCTTTTCTCCCTCCCTTTTCCCCCTTTCTAGGGCAGTATAGATCCTTCCTTCCTTCCCCTCCCTCCTTACATCTCTCCTATTTCTCTTTATTTATTTCTCCTTTTCACTCTCCCTCCTTTCCTTTTTCCCCTCCTTCCATCTCTTTCCTACTTCTCTTTATTTCCCCCTTTCTCTCCTTCTTTTCTTCCCTCCTTTCGCCTCTTTCCTACTTCTATTTATTCATTTCTCCCTTTCTCTCCCTCCTTCTCTTTCTTTTTTCTCCCCCTCCTTCCATCTCTTTCCTACTTCTCTTTATTTCCCCCTTTCTCTCCTTCTTTCTTTTCTTCCCTCCTTTCCTCTTTCCTACTTCTATTTATTCATTTCTCCCTTTCTCTCCCTCCTTCTCTTTCTTTTTCTCCCCCTCCTTCCATCTCTTTCCTACTTCTCTTTATTTCCCCCTTCTCTCCTTCTTTCTTTTCTTCCCTCCTTTCGTTTCTTTCCTACTTCTATTTATTCATTTCTCCCTTTCTCTCCCTCCCTCCTTCCCTTTCTTTCTTTCTCTCTCCCCCTCCTTCCATCTCTTTCCTACTTCTCTTTATTTCAACCGTTCTCTCTCTCTCTCCTTTCCTTTCTTTCCTTTCCTCTTTCCTACTTCTCTTTACTTATTTAATCTCCCTTTCTCCCCCTCTTTCCTTTCCTTTCTTTCGTTCCTTCCCTCTTTCCTACTTCTCTTTCTTTCCCTCCATCTCTTTCCTACTCTTTATTTATTTATAGGGCCGTGTAGATCCATCCTTGACTGTTATTTGGAAGGGAAATGGGCGCCACACTTTTGGGGAAAAGGAAGGATATCAGGGCGGTGACGACGCCAGTGGCAGCTCCCATGGCAAAGGACCCGCTGAAAATCCCCAGGAAAATTCCGATGGACTTAAACATCGCGGTGACATCAAAAGTGTGGCTGTTGTCTCCCGCCGGTTGGTAGGCAACAATCGAACTGCAGGGGAAATACAAACAAATTATCTCTTTTTCAAAAGCTGTAATGGGCTGGGAAAGTAAGAGATCGATACAATATAAAACAACTAGCTGTCCCCTGCCACGTGTTGCTGTGGCCCAGTCTGGTGATCTGGAAAATAAAGTAATGAGAAAGTGTTGGTTTCTAATATATGTAATTTCTTTATGCTTGTGTCGATGTAGAGATTGTCTGGTTGGCCTAATCTGGAGCATGCAACATGGAATTCTCCTTGTTTAGGGGTCCTTTTCAAATCTATGATACTATATCTGTGTGTGAGAGAGTCATATATCTATATCTATGGCTGGATGGCTCTTTGTCAGGAGGGCTTTGATTACGTTTCCTTGCCCTCTTGAAGGGAGTTGGACTGGATGGCCTTGAGTATTTTCAGTTGGTCATGGGAGTTCTGTGTGGGAAATTTGCCCCAAATCTGTCATTGGTGGGAACTATAAATCCCAGTAACTACAACTCCCAAATGTCAAGGTCTATTTTCCCCAAACTCCATCTGTGTTCACATTTGGGCATATTGAGTGCTTGTGCCAAGTTTGGTCCAGATCCATCATTGTTTGAGTCCACAATGCTCTCTGGATGTAGGTGAACTACAACTCCCAAACTCAAGGTCAATGCCCACCAAACCCTTCCAGTATTTTCTGTTGGTCATGGGAGTCTGTGTGTCAAGTTTGGTTCAATTCCATCGTTGATGGAGTTCAGAATGCTCTTTGATTATAGGTGAACTATAAATCCCAGCAACTACAACTCCCAAAGGACAAGGTCTATTTCCCCCAAACTCCAGTGTTCACATTTGGGCATATTGAGTGCTTGTGCCAAGTTTGGTCCAGATCCATCATTGTTTGAGTCCACAGTGCTCTCTACATGTAGGTGAACTACAACTCCAGAACTCAAGGTCAATACCCACCAAACCCTTCCAGGATTTTCTGTTGGTCATGGGAGTTCTGTGTGCCAAGTTTGGTTCAATTCCATCGTTGATGGAGTTCAGAATGCTCTTTGATTGTAGGTGAACTATAAATCCCAGCAACTACAACTCCCAAATGTCAAAGTCTATTTCCCCCAAACTCCATCTGTGTTCATATCTGGGCATATTGAGTTCTTGTGGCAAGTTTGCTCAAGATCCTTCATTGTTTGAGTTTACAGTGCTCTCTGGATGTTAGGTGAACGACAACTCCAAAACTCAAGGTCAATGCCCACTAAGCCCCATTTATATATATATAGATTGCAAAAAATACTTGGTATTTAAGTCTTATTAAAATTAGATACCGTTAAAATTGTTTTCCTCATGGTCAGGGGATTCTGGAAATTATAGTCCAAAAAATTTTCCAAGCTCAACTACAGCTTCCAAATGACACATGGCTCTGTAAACTACTGACAACAGACGAAAGCTATTATGTACATGTATTATGTATAATTCATTGGGGAATTATAATAATCATTCTCTTTAATCTGATTGTGATGTCTAACAGATCATGACAATTATCCCAATTAACCAGAGAGTTTCCTGGCCGGACAAAGGAAGTCCCGGCACAATGGGTTTCCCGATGCAACAATGGGATATGACTTCTGTTTCGATCGGAAGGAAGGAAATGGGGAAACTTACGAAGACAGGACAATGGCCACCGCATCATTGAGGACGCTCTCTCCAAAAAGGAGGGCATAGAGCTCCACGTCAACTTGAAGCTCATGGAAGATAGCAAGAACCGTCACTGGGGAAGACATGGATGCAAATATAATAATAGTAATAAAAATAACACGTTTTATTTGTATCTTGCCTCATAATGCAAAAATAATAATAATAATAATAATAAAAACATTTTATTTGTTCCCAGGATCATAATGCAATAATAATAATAGTAGCAAAATATGTTTTATTTGTTCCCGATCTCATAATACAATATTATTATTATTATTATTATTATTATTATTATTATTATTATTATTATTGCATTATGATCCTGGGAACAAATAAAATGTTTTTATTATTATTATTATTGCATTATGATCCTGGAAACAAATAAAATGTTGTTGTTGTTGTTATTATTATTATTATTAATAATAATAATAATAATAATAATAGCAAGCAAGCAAAGTTTATTGATTAGTCCATTGACCGTATCATTAAAAACAAAAACAGAAACATGCACAAATAGACAATAATCACTATCCTAAGACTTCCATACTAGTGAACTAACATACATACATTCAAACTTGATTAAGTTAAAAGATAATTAATAATATCATTATTAAAATGCCAAGGTAACATTTCACACCACAAAAATTAAAAACGATAATAATAGCAAAAATATGTTTTATTTGTTCCCGGTCTCATAATACTATTATTATTATTATTATTATTATTATTATTATTATTATATGTTTCATTTGTTCTCAGCCTCATAATGCAAATAAAACAACAGCAGCAAAAATAACAATAATAATATATTTTATTTTTTGCTGCCCTCTAATAATAATAATAATAATAATAATAATAGCAAAAATATGTTTTATTTGTTCCCGGTCTCATAATACTATTATTATTATTATTATTATTATTATTATTATATGATGTTTTATTTGTTCTCAGCCTCATAATGCAAATAAAACAACAGCAGCAGCAAAAATAACAATAATAATATACTTTATTTTTTTCTGCCCTCTAATAATAATAATAATAGTAATAATAATAATAATAATATGAGACCGGGAACAAATAAAACATATTTTTGCTATTATTATTATTATTATTATTATTATTATTGCATTATGATCCTGGGAACATATAACACTTTTTATTATTGTTTTTATTATATTTGCGTTATGAGCCAGGGAACAAATAAAACATATTATTATTATTATTATTATTATTGTTATTATTATTATTGTTATTATTATATGTTTTATTTGTTCTCAGCCTCATAATGCAAATAAAACAACAGCAGCAGCAAAAATAACAATAATAATATATTTTATTTCTTTCTGCCCTCTAATAATTATAATTATAATTATAATTATATGTTTTATTTGTTCCTGGTCTCATATTATAAGGCACTCTCATTATTATATGTTTTATTTGTTTTCAGCCTCATAATGCAAATAAAACAACAACGGCAGCAAAAATAACAGTTATAATATATTTTATTTCTTTCTGCCCTCTCATAATAATAATAATAATAATAATAATAATAATAATAATAATAATGTTTTATTTGTTCCCGGTCTCATAATACTATTATTATTATTATACGTTTTATTTGTTCTCAGCCTCATAATGCAAATAAAACAACAGCAGCAAAAATAACAATAATAATAGATTTTATTTCTTTGTACCCTCTAATAATAATAATAATAACAGCAAAAAAGTTTTTTTTTATTATTCTTATTCTTATTCTTATTATTATTATTATATGTTTTATTTTTTCTCAGCCTCATAATGCAAATAAAACAACAGCAGCAGCAAAAATAACAATAATAATATATTTTATTTCTTTCTGCCCTCTAATAATAATAATAATAATAAAGTTTTATTTGTTCCAGGTTGTTGTTGTTATTGTTCTATGGCTGTTGTTATATTATGAGGCCGGGAACAAATTATTATTATTATTATTATTATTATTATTATTATATATTTTATTTGTTCTCAGCCTCATATGCAAATAAAACAACAGCAGCATAAAATGACAATAAAATACTTTATTTCTTTCTGCCCTCTAATAATAATAATAATAATAATAATAATAATAATATGTTTTATTTGTTCCCAAACTCATAATGCAAATATTATAATAATATTTGTTCCTGGTTTTATGATGCAAATATAATAATAATAATAATAATAATAATAATAATAATAATAATAATTTGTTCCCGGCCTCGTAATATAACAACAACCATAATAATAATAATAATAATAGTAATGTGAATAGTAAGTCAAAGTGGGATCCTAGTACTATAAAAGCACAATGGGAAATAGAGGGACCCCTTGTTCATACCTCCATATTCCCAATCCCAACATACAAAAGGGGGGAAAAAACCCCAAAAGTCTAACCTGGAATGGAAAATGGTCTAATAACATACCTGGGTCAGTGGCGGAAGCAATGGCCCCGAACAAGAGGCAGTCAGTGAAGTAGAAGTCCCCTCCCAACTGCCCCATGACCTTCATGAGAGCCACGCAGCCATACATGATGGACCTGCCAGATAGGAAAACAGGGGACGTTACCCTTTGTGGCCACAAGCAGCGCTAGTCACACCTGGGTTTCGTGCAAACACAGGGATTAGAATCATAGAGTTGCACGAGMCCTCTTGGGCCATCCAGTCCCCCCCCCCCCCCCCAATTCGGCCAGAAGCAGGAAAATCACATTCAAAGCACCCTCGACAGATGGCCATCCAGCTTCTATTTAAAAGCCTCCAAAGTACAGGAGGAAAGAAAAGATAGTGTTTTATATGTGCCGTCACATCCAGACCCTATAAAAATAAAACTAAGGTGTGCTTCTCTCTTTGTCTGGGCGGACCACGGGGGTCTTTCTTTAGAAGCTTGAGATTCTCAGCAACTGAGGCTACTACAGGTTTTGAACAACAAAACAGAATATTTATTAGGTTCTTGTGGGGTTTTTTTCGGGCTATGTGGCCATGTTCTAGAGGCATTTCTCCTGACGTTTTGCCTGCATCTATGGCAAGCATCCTCAGAGGTGTGAGGTCTGTTGGAAGTAGGAAAAATGGGTTTATATATCCCATTCACACAGTGGTTCTCAACCTGGGGGCCCCAGATGTGTTTGGCCTAAACTCCCAGAAATCCCAGCCAGTTTACCAGCTGTTGGGATTTCTGGGAGTTGAAGGCCAAAACCTCTGGGGACCCAAGGTTGAGAACCACTGCTCTAGAACATGGCTCTATAGCCCGAAAAAACCCACAAGAACCTAGTGATTCCAGCCATGAAAGCCTCCGACAATACATAGAATATTTATTTCTCAAAGTCCTTGCAGACTTGGCACAGCTTGTCAAAGTTACAAACAAAACAGTCAATTGGTGAAACCATAGAGAGGATCTTTCTTTCCTTTCCTTCAGTTACTGAGGTAACTTTTCCCCAAATGGCAGGAAAAAAAATCCTGGGATATTTTCACCCTAACCCTGAGCTGCTATGGTTAGAAAAAACAACAGTTTTTTCCCCTATCTATAGCTCAAGGTTAGCTTTGGAGATGAAATAATGCTCAATAATACTCAATGACTCAATATCTAGCTCAATAAGCTTCTTTATCTATATAACTCAATCTATCTTTCTATCTGTAACTCAATTACTATCTACATTTCAATCAGACCCAATATTACTCAATCTCAATCTATAGTATCTCAATCAGTTAATTGATCTTTCTATCTATTTCTCAATCAGCTCCTTTATATCCTAATCGTTCTTACAATGGTTTTTTCAGAGTTCCCTGCCTAACCAACAGCACATCTGAAGTTTTCTTCTCTACTGAAGGAGACAGAGGAGATTCCAAAATGGAGAACCCAACCCTAGGAAAAAGGGCGGTCTCTAAACCCAAAGAGATACTTTCTAAACCAGCGGTTCTCAACCTGGGGGTCGCGACCCCTCGGGGGGTCGTTTGGCCATTTTCTGGGGGTCGCGAAGCTGCATTGGCTGGCGACGCCCCCTCCAAAATGGCGGTCGACCCCCTGAGACACTGGCACTCCCACGCGCGAAGCCATCCACCTGTCCCTTATCTCCTTCTGATGGTAGAAGGAGGTGAGGGATGGGCGAGTGGCTCCTTGGGCGCCCCTCGCCTGCTTTGCTCTCCCGCCGGCAGGCAAGGGTGCGGAGCAGGCGAGGGCTCTTCGTTGCAGGTGAACTATAAATCCCAGCAACTGCATCTCCCAAATGTCAAGATTCTATTTTCCCCAAACTCCACCAGTGTTCACATTTGGGCATATTGAGTATCTGTGCCAAGTTTGGTCCAGATCCATCATTGTTTGAGTCCACAGTACTCTCTGGATGTAGGTGAACTACAACTCCCAAACTCAAGGTCAATGCTCACCAAACCCTTCCAGTATTTTCTGTTGGTCATGGGAGAACTGTGTGCCAAGTTTGGTTCAGTTCCATTTGGTGGAGTTCAGAATGCTCTTTAATTGTAGGTGAACTATAAATCCCAGCAACTACAACTCCCAAATGACATAATCCATTTTCCTTCCAACCCCACCAGTATTCAAATTTGGGCATATTGGGTAACGTAAGGTAAAAGTTTTCCCTGACATTAAGTCCAGTCGTGTCCAACTCTGGGAGTTGGTGCTCAATTTCTAGGCCAAAGAGCCAGTGTTGTCCATAGACACCTCCAAGGTCATGTGGCTGACATGACGGTATGGAGCGCTGTTGGGTATTTGTGCCAAATTTGGTCCAGTGAATGAAAATACATCCTGCATTTCAGATTTTTACATTATGATTCATAACAGTAACACAATTATAATTAGGAAGTAGCAATAATAATAATTTTATGGTTGGGGGTCACCACAACGTGAGGCACTGTATTAAGGGGTCACGGCATTAGGAAGGTTAAGAACCACTGTTCTAAACCAATAGCTGCAAAAGGGGGCCTACAGGCTGGCTTTCCAGCCTCGAATGCTGTTAACTTTCAGAGTGCAGCTAAGATTGCAGCAGCCCTGGGGAATGCAAAAGAATGCTATCCCATGCAACTAAAAGGCAAATGCAAACCATGCTCCTGGAAGACGGAACATTACAGAATGGGAAAAACTCACCCGATCACAAAACAGGAGATAGCTGTTCCAAGGAAGGCATACGCCAAGATGGAGCCCAGATTTCGGAAGAAGTGCCGCTGGGAAAGGAAATTGCAATAATATTATTGGTGATTATATGTTTTTAATGATTTTTGTATGGTTTTTATAAAGTGTGCTAAATGTTTTCAATTGTATTTTATGACTGTTGTGACATCAAATTGCTGTCAATTTGTAAGCCGCCTTGAGTTGCCTTCGGGCGGAGAAAGGCAAGATAGAAATACCATAAATAAATAAATAAATAAATAAAATATTATTTTAATAATGCAGCAATAATAATAATAATAATAATGTAGTAATAATAATAAAATGCAGTAATTATAATGCAATACTAATAATGTAATGCAGTAATAATACAATAATAATAATATAATGCAGTAATAATAATGCAATAATAATAATATAATGCAGTAATAATAATGCAATAATAATAATATAATGCAGTAATAATGCAATAGCAATATAATAACATAATAACAATTCAATAATAATAATATAATGCAGTAATAATAATGCAATAGTAATATGACATAATAACAATTCAATAATAATAATGTAATGCAACGAACAATAATAATGTAATAATAATAATGCAGTAATAATATAATGCAGTAATAATAATGCAAAATAATATAATTTTGCATTATTATTACTACCTATCTGACCACATCTCTGCCTATGAACCCACCAGAACTTTGAGATCTTCCGGGGAGGCCCTGCTCTTGATCCCGCCTGCTTCTCAAGCACGGCTGGCGGGGACGAGGGATAGGGCCTTCTCGGTGGTGGCTCCTCGGCTGTGGAACGCCCTTCCTACGGACATTAGACTAGCACCATCTCTAATGGTATTCCGCAAAAAAGTGAAGACCTGAGCTGTTTGAGCAGGCGTTCGAATAATTAGTGCAATGATTGGTTAATGAACACTGGAATGGAACAATGGATGACGAATCTGGAACATGTTTTTGATGACGAGACGACAGTGAATGGGTATTGTAGTAACTGTTTATTAATTGTGTAATGTGTTAGGTTGTTAACTGTTTCTATACTGTAGCACTGAATTTTTGCTGTTCGTATTTGTTGTGAACCGCTGTGAGTCGCCTTCGGGCTGAGAACAGCGGTATATAAGTAAGGTAAATAAATAAATAAATAATAAATAATGCAGTAATAATAATGCAATAGTAATATAATGAAGTAATAATAATGCAGTAGTAATATAATGACATAATAATAATAATAATATAATGCAACAAACAATAATAATGTAATAATAATATAATGCAGTAATAATAGCAATGAAATAATAATGTAATAATAATAATAATTCAAAATAATATAATACAGTAATAATAATGCAATAGTAATATAATGAAGTAATAATAATGCAGTAGTAATATAATGAAGTAATAACAATTCAATAATAATCATATAATGCAACAATAATAAGGCAATAGTAATGTGGTAATAGTATTGCAATAGTAATAATATAATGGGGTAATAGTAATGCAATAGTAATAATATAAAGAGGGATTAGTAATGCAACAGTAATAATATAATGCAGCAATAATAACAAAGCAATTATAAGAATATAATACTGTCATAATAATTCAATAATCATAGTATAATGCAATAATAGTAATGCAATAATAATATCATTAACACTGGTTGCCCTGAAAGGAATAGTTTACTTTCTAGGACGGATGGTCAAATTATTATTATTATTGCATTGGGGTTTTTTTTCAGAATTAAAAGTCAAATTATTATTTGTATTGGTACTAGTAGGAGTATTTTTGTATTATTAATTGTATTAGTATTTGTTATTATTATTATTATTAATATAATATTAGTGCTATTAGTTTTAGTATTTGTATTATTATTATTATTATTATTTCTAACTAGATGTTCTGAAAGAGATAATCTACCCATTTGTTCAGATTATGACACAGGAGAAAAGAAGACAATAAATGCACAAACTAATAAAGGAGCGCCTTAACACTGAGGTTGCAGCCACACTGTAGAATTAATGCACTTTGATACCGCTTCAATTGCCGTGGCTCCATTATGCCTTCATAGTTTTGAACCTTTTCATTACTGAGAAACAGCATCGGTAAGACATTAATTATGTCAACCCTTGATGCTGCAATTTCTATTCATTTTGCATGATATCAGTAGACAGTGACTATTTCAAATGCTATTTATTCCACTGCAAAGTCCAACTGGCCACATGACTTTACATATCAGGTTGTTTATATCTATCTATACACATACTAAAAGTGAAAATATGTATGTGTGTATGTGGCTGGGGTGTCCACTTACACTGAAAGCTCCTACCTCCACAAACAGCTCTAAATCCCACTGATCAGGAGACACCAATGGCCCTTCCTCCAATGGCATTGCAGGTTATAGAGCAGTGTTTCCCAACCTGGGGGTTGGGACCCCTGGAGGGGTCGTGAGGGGGTGTCAGAGGGGTCACCAAAAACCACCAGAAAACACAGTATTTTCTGTTGGTCATGGAGGTTCTGTGTGGGAAGTTTGGCCCAATTCAATCGTTGGTAGGGTTCAGAATGCTCTTTGATTGTAGGTGAACTATAAATCCCAGCAACTACAACTCCCAAATGTCAAGGTCTATTTTCTCCAAACTCCATCAGTGTTCACATTTGGGCATATTGAGTATTTGTGCCAGGTTTGGTCCTGATCCATCATTGTTTGAGTCCACAGTGCTCTCTGGATGTAGGTGAACTACAACTCCAGAACTCAAAGTCAATGCCCACCAAACCCTTCCAGTATTTTCTGTTGGTCATGGGGGCTCTCTGTAGGACGTTTGACCCAATTCTATCAGTGGTGGGATTCAGAATGCTCTTTGATTGTAGGGGAACTATAAATCCCAGCAACTACAACTCCCCAATGTCAAGGTCTATTTCCCACAAACTCTACTAGTGTTCACATTTGGGCACACTGAGTATGTGTGCCAAGTTTGGTCCAGATCCATCATTGTTTGAATCCACAGTGCTCTCTGGATGTAGGTAAACTACAACTCCCAAACTCAAGATCAATGCCCACCAAACCCTTCCAGTGTTTTCTGTTGGTCATGGATTCTGTGTGCTAAGTTTGATTCAGTTCCATCGTTGATGGAGTTCAGAATGCTCTTTGATTGTAGGTGAACTATATATCCCAGCAACTACAACTCCCACAGGACAAAATCAATACCCTCCCCCAATCTGTTACTATTCATAACAGCAGCAGGATGAGTTATGAAGTAGCAACTAAACTAATTTTATGGTTGGGGGGTCACCATAACATGAGGAAGCGTATTAAGGGGTCGTGGCATTAGGTTGAGAAACACTGCTTTAGGCAATGATCAAACAGGAGTCCATGGTGAAACAGTGAAATACAAGACCCAAAATCCCAGAATCAGGAAGCCAAAAGCGTGCTGCTTAAAGCCAAGGTTAATCCATAGGAGTTTGCATGGAAAGAGCCATGTTGAACTGACAACTCCCATTTGTCAGCCAGAAGGCTAAATACCCTTTGCAAACATGAACACATTGCGATGACCCTTGGCTGACTTGGTTTCTCGCTTACCAGCTAAGTGAGAGCTCCTCCGGACCCTTAATTCTAAGCGTTCTTGCCTGCTCATTAATTCACTATCTTCAACTGACTTGATGTTTCTCCTGCTGCACTGTCTGAGGAAGGCACAACAGAAATCTGAATCCCATCATCCTCTTCATCAGGGAATCCTTGGCTCACAAGACCCACAGGGTTCAGTTTCAGGCTCAGAATCAGAGTCACAACACTGCCTCTCTCTTAAGCCTTTCCTATTCTTTTTTTATGGCACCCAGCAAACAGAGAATTAATCAGCAACTAAACATACTAGAGAGGTTTGGGAAGAATTCACCATGATTTATAGGAGTTGTAGGTACTGGGATGTATAGTTCACCTGCAGTCTAAGAGCACTCTGGACCCCACCAACAATGGACCTGGAACTAACCTGACACATAGAACCCACATGATCAACACAAAAAAATACTGGAGGTCTTTGGAGGGATTTAGAGGAGTTGTAGTTCACCTACATTCATGAAACCAAACAATAATGGATCTGGACCAAACTTGGCATGCATACCCAATATGCCCAAATTTGAATACTGGTGGGTTTTGAGGGGAAATGGCCTGGACATTTTGGCATTGTAGGTACTGGGATTTATAGTTCACCTGCAATCAATGAGCACTCTGAACTCCACCAACAATGGAATTGAACCAAACTTGGCACACAGAACTCCCATGACCAACAGAAGATACTGGAAGGGTTTGGTGGACATTGACCTTGCGTTCTGGAGTTGTAGTTCACCTACATCCAGAGAGCACTGAGGTCTCAAACAATGATGGATCTGTACCAAACTCGGCACACATACCTGATGTGCCAAAATTTGATTACTGGAGGGGTTTGGGGGAAACTGAACTTCCTTTCTGGGAGTTGTAGTTCACCCACAACCAGGGAACCGTGACCTCCACTGATGATGGACCTGTACCAAACTTGGCATACAAAACCGCCATGAATAAGTCAACCTACTGGAGGGGTTTGAGGGGACTGACTTTGAGGGGAGTTGTAGTTTACAGCCAGAGAACACACTGAACCCCACTGATGATGCATCCAGAGCAAACTTGCCCAACATAACTAAGTACTGATGGAGTTTCTCAGGGTTAACCTGGCATGATGGGAGTTGTAGTTCACCCACAACCTTATGCATTTTGGACAATTAAAAATTGACATTTTCAGATAATCCGGGCAACATCGGGGACCCAAGGTAGTAATATTTTACACACGCACACACACACGTGTGTGTAAATAAAAAATAGATAATAAATACATAAATTATATAATAACATAATAATATAAATAATATATATAATAATAATATAAATTATATAAAATATAATAATAATATAAATAAATATATATAATAATAATATAAAATATATACAATTTAATAATATTAATAATAATAATGATATAAAAATAAAAAATATTTTTTAAAGGATAAAAAGGGGGAAGAACATACCCGTTTCAAGCTGTATCCCGCATAAAATATAATTGGAGGAAGCAAGATATTGAAGAATACTTCTGGATCAAATGTCACCTAAAGGGTTTCATTGAAGAGGAGACAATGAAAAAAGAATTATTATTGTTATTATTAATACTAAAAAAGAGACTCAAAATGGCTTAGAGGAAAACCAATATAATACAATGGAAAAGCTAGAAATATATACGAACATTAAAATAGAATAAATGAAATAATATTATATCATGGTAGTGATGTAATGCCATGCTCTACAGCATAATAATAATATAATGCAGTAATAATAATGCAATAATAATAATAATATAATGCAGTAATAATAAAAATGCAATAATAATAATAATATAATTCAGTAATAATAATACAATGCAGCAATAATAATAATATAATGCAGTAATAATAACGCAATAATAATAATATAATAAAGTAATAATAAAAATGCAATAATAATAATATAATTCAGTAATAATAATAATATAATGCAGTAATAATAATGTAATAATAATATGTAGTAATAATAAAAATGCAATAATAATAATATAATTCAGTAATAATAATACAATGCAGCTATAATAATAATATAATGCAGTAATAATAATGCAATAATAATATAATGAAGTAATAATAAAAATGCAACAACAATAATAATTCAGTAATAATACAATGCAGCAATAATAATATAATGCAGTAATAATAAAATGCAACAATAATAATATAATTCAGTAATAATACAATGCAGCAATAATAATAATATAATGCAGTAATAATAATGCAATAATAATATAATGAAGTAATAATAAAAATGCAATAATAATATAATTCAGTAATAATAATACAATGCAGCAATAATAATAATATAATTCTGTAATAATAATGCAATAATAATAATATAATGAAGCAATAATAAAAATGCAATAATAATAATAATAATATAATTCAGTAATAATAATACAATGCAGCAATAATAATAATATAATGCAGTAATAATAATGTAATAATAATAATATGTAGTAATAATAAAAATGCAATAATAATAATATAATTCAGTAATAATAATAAAAATCAGCAATAATAATATAATGCAGTAATAATAATGTAATAATAATAATATGTAGTAATAATAAAAATGCAATAATAATAATATAATGAAGTCATAATAATACAATGCAGCAATAATAATATAATGCAGTAATAATAATGCAATAATAATATAATGAAGTAACTATAAAAATGCAATAATAATAATAATATAATTCAGTAATAATAATACAATGCAGCAATAATAATAATAATATAATGCAGTAATAATAATATAATGCAGCAATAATAATGCAAAAATATAATGCAGTAATAATAATAATAATAATAATAATAGTGCAATAATAATAATATTTGGTTGCCCTGAAAGGTTGTTTTTTTCAGAGCTGATGGTCAAATTATTATTATTATTATTAGTAGTAGTAGTAGTATTCTTTGTATTATTATTATTATTTGCAGTATTTATATTACTATTATTATTATTAATTCTAATTGGATGTTCTGGAAGATGACTCCCAGGGCTCAGTGCTATGGAATGATGGGATCTGTAGTTCTTTGGCAAAGAAGGAGAAATCTCCATCGCACGGAGCCATGGCAGTCCAAGTGGCGCCAAACTGGGTTAATTCCCCAGTGCAGACACACCCAACAGCCTTACCTTCCTGAGCATCTCGTTGTCCTGGACGTTGTTGGGCTCATGGGAGCTGATCTCCCCCTTCAAGGTGTATTCGTAGAACTTGCCGCTGAAGTTGACCAGCAAGGTGGCTGGACTGGTTTGGACTGGACAGCTCAGGGTCACGTTGTTGATGTCGCTGGGGATGTGGATGCCGTAGCGGAGAACTACACCCACCAGAACACCTGCACACAAGCAAGCACAGGGAAGGTTGTTGTTGTTGTTATTCACAATGCATGCAGACAATCAACATAGAAGCATAGAACCCTAGAGCTGGAAGGGGCTCCTAAAGGGCATCCAGTCCAACCCCCTTTTGCCATGAAGGAAAACCGAAAATCAAGCACCCCAGACAGATGGTCACCCAGCCCCTGCTTAATAATAATAATAACAATAATAGAACCACCACCACCATCATCATCGAACTCTACTGCTGAAAATGTCCCCTAGAGGCCATCCAATTCAATCCCATTCTGCCTTTTTTTGTGTCAGGAGCGACTTGAGAAACTGCAAGTCGCTTCTGGTGTGACAGAATTGGTCATCTGCAAGGACACTGCCCAGGGATGTCCAGGTGTTTTGATGTTTTACCATCTTGTGGGAGGCTTCTCTCATGTCCTTGAATGGGAGCTGGAGCTGACAGAGGGAGCTCATCCGTGCTCTCCCCGGATTCGAACCTCCGATCTGTCAGTCTTCAGTCCTGCCATTCTGCTATGAAGGAAAAGCACAATCCAAGCACCTCCGACAGATGACCATCCAGCCCCTGCTTAATAATAACAGTAACAATAGTAGAACCACCATCATCATCATTGAACCCTACTGTTGGAAGGGTCCTCTGGATGGCCCCTGACAGATGGCCATCCAGCCCCTGCATCATCATCATCATTGAACCATAGAATCCTAGAGTTGGAAGAGTCCCCTAAAGGCCATTCAGTCCTCCCCTTTCCGACATGAAGGAAAGCAAAATAAAAGCACGCCCAACAGTTGGTAATCTAGCCCCTACTTAATAATAATAATAATAATAATAATAATAATAATAATAATAATAACTCAAACTGCAAAGACTCTGGCACAAGCCAGTCAAGTTGGTCCCAATGGTGATCGGCACACTGGGTGCAGTGCCTAAAGACCTTGGCCTGCACTTAAACACAATCGGCACTGACAAGATTACCATCTGCCAGCTGCAGAAGGCCACCTTACTCGGATCTGAATGCATTATTTGCCAATACACCACACAGTCCTAGACACTTGGGAAGTGTTTGACGTGTGATCCAATACAACAGCCAGCAGAGTGTCTGCTGTGGACTCATCTTGTGGTATTTCAAATAATAATAATAATAATAATAATAATAATAATAATAATACATCACACAGTCCTAGGCACTTGGGAAGGGTCTGACGTGTGATCCAATTCAACAGCCAGCAGAGTATCTGCTGTGAACTCATCTTGTGGTATTTCAAATAATAATAATAATAATAATAATAATAATAGACATTATTCGCTGATACATCACACAGTCCTAGACACTTGGGAAGTGTCCGATGTGTGATCTAATACAACAGCCAGCAGAGTGATCTTGTCTGCTGTGGACTCATCTTGTTGTGTTTCAAATAATAATAATAATAACAACAACAACAACAACAACAACAATAATCAAACGGTTCCGGCCCAAGATACCTATCTGACCGCATCTCTGCCTATGAACCCACCAGGACTTTGAGATCTTCCAGGGAGACCCTGCTCTCGATCCCGCCTGCTTCTCAAGCTCGGCTGGCAGGGACGAGAGATAGGGCCTTCTCGGTGGTGGCTCCTCGGCTGTGGAACGCCCTTCCTACGGACATTAGACTAGCACCATCTCTAATGGTATTCCGCAAAAAGGTGAAGACCTGGATGTTGTGCAGGCGTTTGAGTAATTTAGTGCAATCTGGTAATGGAACATAGGAATGGAACAATGGACGACGAACCTGGACTACGCTTGGATGATGAGAAGATTGGGTACGGTTGTTTTTTGTAATAATTGTGCATTGTAATTGCTTATTGGTAATTTATGGATAATGTGTTAAGTCAATTGTTATATGTTGTATGGAACCACTGCTGTTTCTACTGTTGTTACTGTTTGTGAACCGCGGTCGAGCGCCTTCGGGCCTTGTTGTGTTTCAAATATAATAATAATAATAATAACTAATAATAAATACATCACACAGTCCTAGACATTTGGGAAGTGTGATGTGTGATCCAATACAACAGTCAGCAGAGTGTCTGCTGTGGACTCATCTTGTTGTGTTTCAAATAATAATAATAATAATAATATCTACAGAGACATTCGCTGGAACACCTCAGCAAGTGAGAGTCCAGAAGTGGCAGGCTCAAACCCAGAACTTCAATCAATGGCTGGTACCAAATGGGAGACACCCCCCTCGGCACACAGAAGACTTGGAAGGTACTGAACAGACTTCGCTCTGGCACCACGAGATGCAGAGCCAACCTTAAGAAATGGGGCTACAAAGTGGAATCCACGACATGCGAGTGTGGAGAGGAGCAAACCACTGACCACCTGCTGCAATGCAACCTGAGCCCTGCCACATGCACAATGGAGGACCTCCTTGCGGCAACACCAGAGGCACTCCAAGTGGCCAGATACTGGTCAAAGGACATTTAATCAACTACCAAGCTTGCAAACTTTGTGTTTTGTCTGTTTGTTTGTTTGTTTTGTTAAAATGTAATACAAATGTCTGGTTGCTCCTGACATGATAAATAAATATCGGGGACCCTGTCGAAGGACTTACTGATTGTAGGTGAACTATAAATCCCAACAACTACAACTCCCAAATGACAAAATCAATCCCCCCTCAGCCTCACGCGTATTCAAATTTGGGCATATCGTGTATTTGTGCCAAATTTCGTCCAGTGAATGAAAATACATCCTGCATATCGGATATTTACATGAAGATTACTAACGGTTATGAAGTAGCAATGAAAACAATCTTGTGGTTGGTGGTCACCACAACATGAGGAACTGTATTAAGGAGTCGTGGTATTCGGAAGATTGAGAAACACTGATGTGGATTGAGACATTTGTCATGGCACTACAAACACAGCGTTTTGTGGATTACATTTTTGGCTGGATGGGCGATTTTCATGGGTCAAAAGAAAATTAGTTAAAGCAAGAAGTTAAAAGTTTTGTCAAGGCAGGTTTGGCATCATACATGGTTTAAGACAGTGTTTCTCAACCTTCCTAATGCCGCGACCCCTTAATACAGTTCCTCATGTTGTGGTGACCTCCAACCATAAAATTATTTTTGTTGCTACTTCATAACTGTAATTTTGCTACTGTTATAAACTATAATGTAAATATCTGATATGCAGGATGTATTTTCATTCACTGGACCAAACTGGGCACAAATACCCAATGCACCCAAATGTGAATGCTAGTGGGGTTGGGGGAGGATTGATTTTGTAATTTGGGAGTTGTAGTTGCTGGGATTTATAGTTCACTTATAATCAAAGAGCATTCTGAACTCCACCAACGATGGATTTGAACAAACCTTGGCTCCCATAACCAATGGAAAACACTGGAAGGGTTTAATGGGCATTGACCTTGAGTTTGGGAGTTGTGGTTCACCTATATCCAGAGAGCACTGTGGACTCATGCAATGGTGGATCTGGACCAAACTTGGCACGAATACTCAATATGCCCAAATGTGAACACTGGTGGAGTCTGGGGAAAATAGATCTTGACATTTGGGAGTTGTAGTTGCTGGGATTTATAGTTCATTACAATCAAAGAACATTCTGAACTCCACCAACGATAGAATTGGCTCAAACTTCCCACATGGAATCCCCATGACCTATCAGAAAATACTGTGTTTTCTTATGGTCTTTGGCAACCCCTCTGACACCCCCTCGCGACCCCCTCAGGGGTCCCGACCCCCAGGTTGAGAAACACTGCTCTAAGACTATTGTAAAGGAATCTCCATTTCGTGCTGCTTTTAGCCTCCTTCCAATTGAGCAACCGGCTTTCTCCGATTTCTCAATCCTGTTCGTGCAGTGACTTCTTCAAGAAGAAGCGAGTGCCTACTCAGGAAACTGGAGAGGAAAGAGAGGCATTCCTGTGAATTTCCTATTTACAAAAGATGCAGGAGGGTGTGGAGGGGAACAGATACGTAACAATACTGAATAGGTTGAGACTCAACTATGATATTCATTGAAAAACTATCACAAAATGTGCTGCAGGATGTCCCTTCCGCAAGAGCAAATTTTTTGCAGTTTCATGCTCAAGCAGGGAGCTTTGAGATGATAGAACAGAAGCTCTCCGAAGCTCTAGGTGCTCTTACTGCCTATTACAGGGAAAACCAGCTCATCCCTAATCCATCTAAAACACAGACATGCGCCTTTCACCTTAAGAACAGACAAGCATCCTGAGCTCTGAGGATTACCTGGGAAGGAATCCCACTGGAGCATTGCAACACACCCAAATACCTGGGAGTCACTTTGGACCGTGCTCTGACCTACAAGAAGCACTGCCTGAACATCAAGCAAAAAGTGGGCGCTAGAAACAACATCATACAAAAGCTGACTGGCACAACCTCGGGATCACAACCAGACACAGTGAAGACATCAGCCCTTGTGCTTTGCTACTCTGCTGCTGAATATGCATGCTCAGTGTGGAAAACATCTAACTACATTAAAATAGTGGATGTGGTTCTTAATGAGACATGCCGCATTATCACACGATGTCTACGCCCTACACCACTGGAGAAATTATACTGGTTAGCCGGTATTGCACCACCTGACATCCGCCGGGAAGTAGCAGCCAATAGTGAAAGGACCAAGGCAGAGACATCTCCAGCTCATCCCTGTTTGGGTATCAGCCAGCACGTCAACGACTTAAATCAAGACATAGTTTTCTTAGATCTACAGAGACACTCGCTGGAACACCCCAGCAAGCGAGAGTCCAAAAGTGGCAGGCCCAAACCCAGCACCTCAATCCATGGGTGATACCAGATGAGAGACTCCCCCCTGGGCACACAGAAGACTGGGCAACTTGGAAGGCGCTGAACAGACTGCGCTCTGGCACCACAAGATGCAGAGCCAATCTTAAGAAATGGGGCTACAGGGTGGAATCCTCGGCATACGAGTGTGGAGAAGAGCAAACCACTGACCACCTGCTGCAATGCACCCTGAGCCCTG